TTCTCCCGCCGGTTTTGGCCGTGCTGTTGCAATGGAGCCTGATCGGTGTCTCCTTCCTTGTGCTTTCACTTATTCATTGTCGCTTGAAATCCGCTTGTCGGACTGTCTCACGGTCTTGCCGCACGTGCCTGCAACGCCCGACGGCACTTCTTATCAGCTCGACGGACTGCCCGGGCCAAGCAAAGCTGCCTGTATAGGTGTAGCATTCACCAAAACTCTGACAGCTCAAGACCCTGTCACCTAGTACATCTCCCTCGGAACGAGATACACTTGCCGGGTTGACCAGCCTCTAGTCCTTGCAGGCTAGGACTCGGCTCGAGCGGACAGCTTCGGTGACCGTCAGGCCAAGCCCAGTAAAAGAAATTTTCGTCTTTTGCGGTCAGGTATTATTAGTCGCGCTGCTTCGCGCATCAAGTGATTGAGAAGTCTGCGACGGCGTGCTGAGCTTGTACGGCTATGACTTCCTCCGGGCCGTCACGATAGCCATTACGCAGAAGTCGCGTCTTCACTATCCTTGGCCGACGTCAAATGTGTGCAAGCAAGCTATCAGCTGCATCTGCGTCCCGTTTAGGCAAAGGAAACGAACCCCGAGTTCCCGTAATGGTGGGCGGATGGTCAATAGCGTCGCGCCTGGACTTCAGCCCCCAAGGGAGGATCGGGGGGCTTGATCCCAGTCCATCGCGTGGCTCATGACTTGCGATGATTCCTTTGATACGGCGGATTTGGCGTAATTCCAGATCTAAGTCGTTGCATCGCGGCTGGCGATCCAGATCTTTCCATGCAGGAAGAGCCTTTCCTTCCCGCTCTTTTCCACTTCCGCGAGTCGTGACCCTGTCGATAGGGCATCTCGAAAACCCTCACAATAGTATCGCAGCAGCCAGTGCTGAGTGGCAGCTTCATGCGGTGCGAGCCTGAAGGTTTGGTGCGTTTCGACTATTGAGACACTGCTAGCACAGGACATTGTGTAGTCTGCCCGCTGCCTGCCACGTTTTCGACGCGGACATCGGGTCATTGACTTACTGCGTGATGCCTCGTGGAATCTCTCCTTCCTACCGTCACAAAGATTCTACTCTTTGCCACGTTTTTCTCCCTGCCGTCAGGGTTTGGATGGAGGGTGACATGGCTTATGCAGTGGTTTGACACGGGACGAATAACGTCGCTCAAAACGCTTGTGTACATGACTCTCCAAGCGCTCGTTATCCTCTTCACCGTAACGTCGAGTGACGGTTCGCACAAGATGAAAACTCATCCCCGTCATGCGTTCTCATGGAGAAGTTGGATACGTTGAGTTGGGGCCAAGAGATATTTCTTTCTTGGTGGTGGGCAAAGCTCCAATCAGACTCGTCTCGGGGCGGATCCGGACCCTCGTTGAGAGGAGCCCTGACGCAGGCTTGATATGACTGCAGCCCGTCCTTCTGAAGTTGATAAGATCGACAAAAGAAAATGGCAAAACCCTTACGTCTAGGAGAAGTTCCGGATGACAAAATCCCATTTTTCAGAATCCTGTTCAGAAATGGTGTCAGGCTCCGCATTATTGACGTGGACGTGGCTCCTCCAGTCGGTCCAGATGCAACATCGGCTATGTTGGCTTCAACAATTGTTCATTTGGTTTTCCTTGACTTGGCTACGAAAAGCAGCCGTCGCTGAGAGTAAGGTCTTGAACCTCAAAGCCACGACTTACTCAGTCGTCATTTAGATGCAAGGAATTTCCTATGCGTACTTTGAATGTCCAGGTTCCCCCTCGAAATCGACTGTGCACGGTTTCATCAACCCGAAGCCTAAAAGCTTAGTAAATGTGTGTTGGCATGAGGGCTAGACCGCCTCACTTTGTCTTTTGCTCTTCAAGAAGAGACCGACTGTCGCAGCAACTCCTGTGCCCTTTGGCTGCGTGGTATTATGGAGCATTCAAAATATTCCGGATGACTAGCGGTTTGACGTCAGAACTCTAAAAGTTTTGACACTTATGGAGCAGCACACAAACTCACCAGGTTCCACCATTGGTGAAGGCAATCTTGGGCTCCATGACTTGGCCGTCTGGTCCGACTTTCTTACCAATCTTGAGAGTGGCAAGCATTGTTGCAACTGCTATCCAGACACTGTTGTCTGCCAGGAAGCGTCCAACGCAGACTCGGCGTCCAAAGCCAAACTGGCCAAGTGGCAAGGGCTCACCATGGCCTCCCGAAGACTCTGGTTGATATCTGTCCGGGTTGAAAGACTTGGGGTCCTTGTACACCCGCTCGTCCTGAGTCATTGCGCTTGAATTGAAGAAGACAATAGACCTGGGGAAAGCAGTCAGTACTTCCTTCTAGAAGCATGCAGCTTTTCGGCCCGTTGAGGGGTGAAAGGGGGGCAAGTGAACCTACCCTTTAGGGATGAACATGCCGTTATAGACGTCGTTCTCAAGAGATTTGTGGGGAATTCCTAACGGTGCCAATGGTGACCATCTGTTTCTTTCTCGTCAGAAGCTATCCCACGTGGGTCTCGACCTGAGTAGCAAGAGGAAGCTTACCGGTAGACTTCCTGAACGATATGGTCAATGTATGGGAGGGATGGCCTGTCTGAAAGATCGGGCAGTCTACCGAGCCCAACCACGCGCTCGATGCAGGCCTGCGCTTTTTCTTGAATCTCAGGATGGAGAACCATGTTCAAAACAAAGACGACCATGGTGGCCCAAGTCTGGTGCAAGTCAGAGTCAGCAGTGTATCAAATATCAGAGAGTAGCAAAGTTACCGTATCGGCCCCTGCAATGAAGATGGCGCCTGCTGCTCCCTTGATGTCGTCAAGTGTCCATTCATTGTCGAGTCCTCTCTTGGCGTTGGAGGAATAGGTTTCCAATAACCTATGTGCGAAGGAAGGGCTGTCCTTGCCGCGAGCCTTGACTTGTTAGTGCTGCGGGCATGGACTTGACTAGGAGCATACACTCACCAACTCTTCCTGCGCAACAGCAAATGGAACGTCATGCAACTTGCGTATAGCCCATCCCCATTCTCGCGCGAATTTCAGCGACCAGTCTCGAACTAGCCAGACGGGCAAATGACGAGCTAGAACAAAGGCCAACGTTACCAAAAGAGTGAGGGTTGGAATTGTGTTGCATCCGTAACTTACCAGGGGGAAAGATGTCGACGATGCTGTTGGCGGGTGCACCACCATTTCCAGTTGCGTACATGGCATCTTGGGCAATCTTGACGTACGGGTCGTTATCCTCATGAACGTCAACTCCATAGCTCACTTTGAGGACGATAGCAACGGCGAATCTGGAATGGTCAGCTACGTATCAACAGTCAGCCAAAGCCTAGAAGCGGTTCACCTTTTGATGGACATTTGCCAGCTGTCAGGGTTGCTGACGATGCCATGAACGGATTTGCGGGCCTCGGCGACCTGCAGAGGGTACCACTGCCGGACATTGGTGTTACTGAAAGTGGTCTGCAGCAGCTTTCGGTGCATCTGCCAGCGGGGTCCGAAGGGCAGGAAGGTCAGCGTCTTGCCCCAGCCCATGCTAAGGAGGGGGCAGCCTGCATCAGCATGCCGACAAGATAGCTCAGGGTCGAAGTCGGGGCGACTTACACCTCAAACAGAGTGAATCTGGGTCTGTCACAGTAGTTGGCCCCCCTACGATCGAGAAGATCCTTGGCAGCCTCGACACTGTTAAGCACCACGATGGATTGGCCGAGAGATTTGACGTGAATGACATCCGAGTCTATTATTACGTTAGTCGCGAAGAACTCTCAAAGAGGTGTATAGAGGGAGAAAGCAGACTCACCATACTTTCTTGCCCACTCTGCGTATGTTTGGGCAGTGTTCTGTTTGGGTATAACACGGAGGTGGCCGAGGAGAAACTCGCCCGGCGGACCCGGAGGTAATGGCGGATGGCCCCATGATGACCGCGGTCTTATCAAGATGAGGAGGACTACAATAGCTACACAAGCGGCTGTTGTAGTCCATGCTGAGGTGCTTTGAGTCGAGTCCATTGGAATTGTGAAGTTGGACAAGTCGAAGTTGGTGGGGTTGAGGGTCCGAGTCCACCAGCAAGAGAGGCAAGAGGAGTCCGGTGATGTGATTCCGGACAAACTTGCAACGAGCACAGAGGCTCGAGAATAAGGTAAAGAGCTGTTTTGAAGTCGGAAACAGACATCCAGCAAAGGAGAGCCGTCGAAGGTGAATGAAGTCGACGCTAAGGGCATGGAGCTTGGGCAACCGGTGAATAGGAAGCCGCTTATTCGTGAAAGACACGGGAAGAAGGCGGCCATCTGGGTCTAGGACATGGGCCTTGCCTACTTGGTCCAGGAGCGCATAAGAGTGCAGTGTCGTGTGTCGTGTGTCGAGCAATGGAAGGTAGAAGCCTTCCAGGATGGGAGACGGGGCAAGCACCTCTCCACTGATGACTGGAGGCAGAAATGGGAGAGAGAGCAGGAGCGTGCCTAGCTTACATTCTCAGACAGGCAGAGGCAGATGGGTAGTGAGGCAGTGGAAGGTAAGGGAAGGAAGGTACTTCTGTGACATAGAAAGGGAAGGCACGTCGCAAGTCACTCGTTCTCTTCTTGCCTTCTCTTGGTTTTGCTTTTCCCGGGCAGTTTCTTGAGTTGTTCAGGATGTTGGTGTTTGCTCTCGGTCTCTCTTGCTCTTTCCCATTCCGTCTCTGTCCCTTCACACACGCTGTCTCTCTCAAATAAGTCATTCATCCCATCTTGACCCAACAACATCTACACTTTTTCCTCCACACACACACCCACACATAAACACACAGACTCAGACACACACACACATACGCACGCCGCACTCGCATTCCACACCAACACAACCCCGGCCTGGACCTAGGCATGACGGCGCGCCAAATGCAGCATGGCGTGGCGGGCGTGGGAGACAATAGGGGATCGAGTCTAACGGTATGCCGTATGCACCCTCAAAGTCTAATCCGGCGTAATGTCGTTCACTTCCACGTGTCGAACAGAACGAAACAAACGGTCGGTTCAAGCCGGCGCCCAAACCGGCGGTGTCAGCGGATGCCGAGTGCTGCACGGCGAGAACAGCGCAGCCATTCCGCCCATGGCGCCGAAAAGATGGCTGCTGCTCTAGCACTCTTTCATCTAGGCAGCGGAGGGGAGGCCGAGATTTGTTTGCTGGGTAAGGTACGGAGTACGGACGGGGATATCGAAGGTCCAGACTCTTCTCTCTCTCCCGTCTACGGAGCAAGGCATCCATGGGTGGCTCCCCAGCAGCTGAAGATCCCGCCCGTCTCGGCGGACGTCCGGTGGCTGGTGGATGGACTGGAACTTCTGGAACTTCTGGAAGGTCTAGGAATGGACGGCAAGACAACCTGACAGGTTCCATTGCAACACCCGATCGGATTGAGCATGAACGGTACGGGTACGGAGTAAGGGGGTCGGATACGCTTCCACTAACCTTCCACTCCTTAAAAGGTGGCACCGTTCTTCGGCTCGGCTCTTTATTTGTGTATGTGCTGTGTCCGGAGTACCTGGCCCAGTGTGCCAGCCTCCCAGCTGCGAACTCCCAAGGTCATAGGTGTCAGTCTTTTCGCCTTGTTTCGGCAAGGACTAGGGATGGAAAAATTGGGGAAGGGGGACATGTTGGGCATGGCATCTGTCTCTCTAACTGACTAAGGTAAGGTGTCGGGTTGAATCTCTCTTTATTCCTGCGGATAGACATCTTGTCAGAAACCGTATCGCGTTGCCACATCAAATCACTGCACAGCACTGGGCCTCAAACGACCTGATCATGCTGACCAGAGCCAGTAGCGAGAAAAACTAGCCGACAGTGGACCCCGTCTTTTGTCTGTTTTCCCTGCTTTGACAGCTTTTTCTGTGGAAATTCTCCAGTAACGCCAACAACCCAAAGATGCACTATCTGCAAAGACTGCAAAGACTGCAAAGACTGCAAAGACTGCAAAGACTGCAAAGACTGCAAAGACTGCAAAGACTGGATCTCTTTCCGGTCCCTCCCGGTCCGTAGGGCCAATCCCTCGAGCAGGCCATGGAGAGGATTCCCACCCGGCCCCCCTGCAACATCACTCGGCTGCCCCTCCCACCCTTACGCTACAGAATTCCAACCGCGAACCTGGCAGCCAATGCCCCGCCAAGTGCATCATCATCCCACCTCCGTTGGCGTTGGCTTTGGCGGGGTCCTGTCACCGTTTGTCGGCTGGGAAAATTCAATGCCTCACATCCATTTCTCTGCCCCTCACCACCTGATCTACCGTTATCTCACCTCAGTACCCGAGCTGCATTCTTTCGCTCGGAAAGAGAGGCCTCTGTCTCATTAAGATACCCGATTGCGACCGCACGATCCGAATCATAAAATATCTCAGGTTGCCTTTTCAGGTTGTCTTTGACGTTGGCGACATCTTGATCATCTTCATCGCCGAGGAGGGAAAACACGAGAAACCGAACACCGAGAAAGAAGATCGAATTGCCAGAAATGGCTGCCACCAAGACCCCCCAGATCACCGTTCTCGGCTCCCTCAACATCGATTTGACCTCCTACGTCCCCCACCACCCCCTGCCGGGCGAGACCCTCACCTCGAACTCTGTTGTCATTTCGCCTGGAGGAAAGGGCGCAAACCAGGCCGTCGCCTGCGCCAAGCTCTCCCGCTCCCGCGAAGCCCCCAACGATGCCGCCGCCGAAACCGCCTCCGTCTCCATGATCGGCGCCGTTGGCAGCGACTCCTACGGCGACCTCCTCCTCAAGAACCTCGGCGAGCACGGCGTTCGCACCGATCGCATCGCTGTGGGTAGCGACCTCAAGACCGGCATGGCCATCATCGTCGTCGATGAACCCACCGGACAGAACCGCATCATCCTCGCTCCCGAGGCCAACCACGCCGTCACCCCCGAAAAGTTCGGCGCCCTCCCCGAGACCCTCGACCCCAAGCCCGACCTGCTGGTGATGCAGCTCGAGGTACCCCTCGAGACCGTCCTCGCCGCCCTCCGCTCCGCAAAGGCCGCCTCCGTCCCCGTCCTCCTCAACCCCGCTCCGGCACAGCGCCTCCCTGACGAGGCCTACGACGGACTCGCCCATCTCGTCGTCAACGAGACCGAGGCCGCCATCCTCTCCGGCTGCGACGAGTCCGAGCTCGACACCTCCGAGGGCCTCAAGCGCGTCGGCGAGTGGTTCATGGCCAAGAAGGTCAGCAACGTCATCATCACCCTCGGTGGCCGCGGCGTCTACTACGCCAACAAGGAGGGCGCCGCCGAGCTCATCGCCGCCCAAAAGGTCAAGGTCGTCGACACCACCGCCGCCGGCGACACCTTTGTCGGCTCCTACTGCGTTGCCGCCGTGACCGCCCAGGCCAAGGGTGTGGCTTTCGACATTTCCTCCGCCATCAAGAGCGCCAACAATGCGGCGGCCAAGACGGTCGAGCGTAAGGGCGCGCAAACATCCATTCCTTGGAGAGATGAGTTGCAGTAAAGAACGGCTGCATGAAATCGAGTAAAAAAAGTAAAACGTAAAACCATAAAACCGTATACCAAAACAAAAACAAAGAAAAGCATTAATCATTCAGGCGTCAGCGGACAACATCATAGTGAAAAGGGTGAATGAACACCATACGAATCGTAATTCGGGTGCTTCTAATTCGAATACTCTTAGACGCACACGTGTGCATGTATGCCTCCTACTCCTATAAACCAAGACCGAAAAAGCACAAGCTGCGAGCCCTCTCAAGACCACCAGCTCGTCCAACTCCAACGGCTGAATGACTTTCTTCCCTGGCCGCGAGGGGACTCTCCTCCATGCGCCTGTCTGTTCTCTGCTTCATGACCTTCATCTCGGGTGCCGGCGACTGAAGATGCCAAGCCTCTCAAAACGCCCGGGCCTATCGAGCGCGGGCTTCTCAATGCGGTCAAATGATTCGCAAACCTATTCTTGAATCCGGCCCCGGTTGCCGCCTCGCCGGGGCACGTTGCAGTTGATGGCCACCGCTTCCCTTCTTCCGCGACTTCTTCCGCGCGGGGCCTACCCCAGTCCAAGTCCACTGCCAACGTCCTCCGACGCCCGGCAGACCACCCATTGTACATTGCGTCTGGTTTTCTGACTGTCACGTCTCTACCGAGGCTTGCCTCTCGCCTAGGAATTACCGGAGGGCTCAGCATATCCATTGGTTCGTCTCCCAAAGACAAGTCCATCCTGGACTTCGCCCTGAGGGGCCTTTGTGGTGATATACGATGAATCACATTACGAGCTTTCGATGGCCCCCAATTTCCAAGGATGATGCTCGCAATGGGATTGTATGTTGGTGCTGGACTTGGGGACCATGGTGATCGGTGATTATGTTGCTTGACGATGGCCGTAGCAAACGTTTCTAGTTTTGTGCCGCCTTCTGCTATGTTGTCGATGATGTCATTTCGACTTTGGCAAAAGAATGCTGAATGGTTGTACTTGACCGAAACGCGTATATACTCGAGGTTTGAATCTCCTAACTGATATTCCAAGTCATCAATCAGCTCATCTGACCTGTGTTTGACATGGCCTTGCTGCGTAGTCACGGCAGTGGAGCGAGGCGATTTGACTAAGACTTGCGCGAGCAGCAGTACAATATCGTCATTACCTAGTGTTCTGTGCCACAATCAGACAATTATCAGAAACACCCGGTGAAAGTACTCACGTTTGGATAGGATCATCCCGAATTGTCTCAAGAATACAACTGTTTCCAAGCGGAACGATTTGGATATCCATGCTGTGAATACACCCATGCCTGAAAGGATCTAAGTTGATGTTAGCATGGAGATCAATATCGAAATTCACGTCTACGTACCTGTAGAAGATGGATTATTGAGTCTTCTCAGCAAGGCAGACTCATATTCAGCAGAGGTATCATCGCAGAGTAAGCCGTTGAGAGGTTGACACAAGTGGCCTGAAACCTCGACGGCAACCCAGAAGCTTCCCGTGCTGCCATCGAGAGCCCTGATTTCTGGGGTGATACGAATATTCGGTACGAGCACAAGGGAGCTATGAGACGTGTTTCTCTCTCCTGAAATATTTGAGTGATATGAAGTGCTTGCTTGAGCAGCCAGAGACGAGTTACTAGAAGACCGCATAAAATTAGAAGCACCGCGTTGTGGTGCTTGGGATACTGCCTCAAGGCCATCATCGAGTGGCCCAGGAATAGCATGTGAAACGAACTTATCCCAAGCTGGTGGTCCTGATTGAGATTAGCAAGTGTTATTCAATCTCAAATCCAGACTCACGATGCGCTTGTGGCCGTCCGCTAGGTGAAGAATGTTCCTAGCCACCATTCTTCGAACGAGGCATCTTCCCGGTCCCATGGTTCCCTCGCTTCTTCCTCACAACGAGTGACTCGCCAAACGGTCCCGAGACACCGTCTACACCCTCGTCAGTCTCGGCAACTGATTGCGAGCCGCTTGCATCTCCTCGGGACTCCCCTCCAGAATCACGCCCGAGTCTCTTGAGAACCTTGAGCGGCTGCGGGACTTCGGGACCGCCCCTCTCCGATCCGTTCTCCGCCTTGTCGGCGAGAAACTCCAGCTCAAACGACTGGCCCTCGAGGGATGCCATGTCTCGGGTGGCGGCTGGATCTGGACCGTGGTAGTAATGGCCTGTTGGGGCACCAAGGCTACCTCGTGGATGCCGCGCTGGATCGAAGGTGTCGGCGTGTCCTGGTACGTCCTGAGACTTTCGAGATCCGGCCACGAGTCGGCGTAGTGTAGCGTGTTGGTTGCGAGGCTGGTGGTGGCGCTGTCGTTCGATTTGACGCGTCGGAGGCCGAACCAGCGTCTCGCTGGCTTGGGTTCGATGGCACCGGCTGCGTCCCTGAAGTTGCGTGAGATGAAGCGGGCGGTGAAGCCTGCGATGAGTAGCATGGGTACGACGGTGACGAGAACGATGAGAACTGCGGCTACGGGAGTTGAGAGGCCCATAGTCGAAGTAACAAGACGGTAAGTAATGCACGTGATGATCTGACGTCTTGGAATGATGATCTATTATTCGGGGGCCATTGAAAAGTTGTATGTAGTAAGGCTATGTGGAAGAGGAGAATGTACCTACGCAGGCAAGTCTACATCCCCTCCGCTACAGGGGAAGGTGAACGTGCATGCTAGGTGAGCTAGGTAATGTCATGAAGTTTTAGAGGTAGTCGCTTTCAAGCAAAGTGAAATCCGTCATTCCGACGCAGGCACGCCCTGCATGCTTATACGTTTTTCAGGTGTCGCCGGGCTGCTTCCCAGTGTACGCTGCAAATTTTCTCTCACAGCGTCCACGTCGCCTTCCTCCATTGCAAGGAAGTTGATCTGTTATCATTCATGGTCAGCAGCCGTCCTAGGTCCATTGTTCACGCATCTGAAGGGAAGAAGGGTCACTCACCAGGTCATCCCCACCCGACGTCGCCCCGTACAAGACCGCCTCAGACAGGGACGTCGCGATGCCTTTCTGTACTCTATCCTCCCAAACGCCTTCCCAATTCCATTCCCCAGGCTTTCTGGAGACGGAAGGCGCACTACCGATAGGTTTCCTAACAATGGAGTGAACACTCCCGCTGGTGGAAGGCTTCCTCTCAGGTAGCGGAGGCGGCGCCTCCACCACCTTTTCTTCCCCTTCCGCTTCGCCTTCCTTCTTCTCCTGAGCACCATCAGCAGCCTCTGCCACTTTGTCGCTCTCTTGCTCCTTTTCACTCTTCTCCTGCGGTACCGGATCGCCAGGAAAACTCTTGCCCGTCTGTCGCTGACGTGTCCGCCACGCATGCCACGCGCCAGGGTTTCCCGCAGCTTCGAGAGGCACCGAGTCTAGCACCTTTTCGTCATCGAACGTGCTCCGGATATATCGCAAGACCTCGTACGTGGAGACCTCTCGCCTCGAAGTGTCGAGATACCCAGGCCGTCCTCCGAGAGGCGTCGCCTTTGAGCTCGGCGTCGACGTAGTGCTGGGTGGCTCCCCACCGCCTCTGGCAGGCGTCGCGGGCGGTTGTTGTTGCTGCTGGCCGCTGACCTGTCGGCTCCCCGCGTTGCTTTTGCTGCCCCGCCCAAACCAAGCGGGAAACCCATGTCGTAGACTGAAACCTCCGGGCGGTAGGCGTTCTGCGTCGGTGGCGCTTACCGTGCCGTTGTCCTGAATGTCGGTGGTGTACATGTACGTGGTTAATGGTGTGATTAGGGGGTGGAAAATGTCTGTTGAAAAAGTGACCAGTGGCGGTAGTCGAGGATATGTGTCTGGGAACGAAATCTGAAATCTCAGGATAGCCGTAGCGTAGGGTCCTGCGAACAAGTCTCAGTCTTCTCTCCGTTCTTCTCTTCACTCTGGGTCTTCCTCTCTCATCGTGAATAAAGTCCAGGGGCTTCCATACCGTGCCTCACAAACATGACGCCGGACCATAGCATCGGGTCTCCTGGCGTCAAGCTCACAAAGACCCCCTCCGGACAAGCCTGCTTCAGGCCAGCACTAGTGTACAGAGGTTAGCAACTTACACGCTTAAATCAGACCTCAGGGGGTGACGCTCGATGGGGTCTGGGTTTGGGGGAAACTCACAATTCGGCCAGGAGGTGCTGTCGCCGCAACGACGGCATACTGCCCATCCGTAGACTCGCCATTTTTTCTCATAAACAAAGCATCAAAAATAAGGACTTGATGAGGATGAATGTGCCGCGATGAGAGGAAGCCCGTCTTGAGACATTGAACAATGTCTCATTCATGCGTGAAGCAAGGGCGGTCATGAAAAGCGGTAAGAAATTCTGCCGGCCCAATTCCTTATCGTGATAAGCGAAATCTTATCTTATCGGTGATAGCGAGGGCTGTTTTTACCCCACCTCCACTGTACGTCACAAGCTACCCCGCCAAAAAGTGTTCACGGCAGGTGTAGCGATCTCGGTCATCTCGGCCGTCGCGTCGGCGTCACTCTTGTCGAGGCTGGCGGCTCGGGCGGAGAGAAATTTCAGTGGATGAGGCGTGAATTACTGAGTTCTCAATTCTCTGTGTATACGAGGGTTCGCGAACCGCAACGTGATTCGGCCATGCACACAACAATGACGTTTGGGCAAAAGGAAACCCCACGATGGCATCGATCCATTCAGAAATAGAGGGGTAAAATTTTGGTCTCATGATCTATTCACATCCGAGAGTTGATATCCCAATATGCAGGTGACTGATGCTCGTCACTCTTACAGCCCTGGCATCTTTGTGCCACGTTTACGTGTAGCCCCCCAAAGCAGTGATGCCTTCGAAGGGATGAATAATGACTTGCGCGAGAGGCTTCTTACTGGGCCATTATTTCCCGAGGCGGGCCTCGATCTTGCCCTTCTCCTTCGCCTTGATCTCGGCCAACTCCTCCCTGGTACTGTCGAATCTCGCGTTCACCTGGTTGAAGGGGTTCTCCGGGCTCTTCTCAAACTCCTTTCTAATCTTGTCCTTCTTCTGTTGCTGACGCAGGCCCTGGCCCGAGCCGTCGTCCTCCATCTCCTTGAGCCGACGCTCCTCGAATGCTGCGTACGCCGCCTTGAAACGTCGCTCGGGGTGGCGGTCAATCTTTGCGTTGTTGTCGGAGCCTGTGAGGGAGAGGGCGTCGAGGGCGTTGTCGATACCGGTGGCGTTGAGCGCGGCAAGCGAGCCTCCGCTCTGATCGCCGTCCAACTGTGACAGATCGAGCCCACGTGTTTTCTTGACGGCCGTCTTGTTGTTCTTGGGTCCAGTCCGTCCGGGGGTGTTGGCCTCCTCCTCTTTCAGGAGCGCATCCTTCTCGGCCTTCTTTCTGGCTGCTTCTGCCTTCTTGGCGGCTTCCGCTTCCCTAAAGGATGGATGATGTGGTCAGCCATGGCACTGGGTTGGTTTCCTCTCTGTGGGGTACTGGAGATCTCGAGAGATGGGGAAACGTGATGCATGGAAGCCGGTGGTGTCACATGTGGGACACCACATCGTGGCGGCCGAGGGGAGGTTGCCGTAACGTTGTTCGTGACTCCTACTCACTTCTTTCCAGCTCCCTTGGCGCCCTTGCCCCAGTCAGCGTCTTCAACGGCAGCCCTCTTCGCGTCCTCGGCAGCGGCCTTCTGTGCAGCAGCATCGGCCTTACGGGCGTTCCCGGCAGCCTTTTTGCTATTCTCACCTGCTCCCTTCTTGCCAGCCATGTTGTCTCCTTGTGATGCTGGGTGTTTGGTTCGGTCACTGGTCGGCGATATGCGCGATATGCGATGCGATGCGCGGGTTTGCAACAGTCGTCCGTATGCGCGTGCTTTATGTAAGGTAATTTGCTTCTCTGTATGGCCGCGTGCGTGGTTCGTGTCTAGTGCCCGGGATGTTGCAGTCGAGCAAGTGGTGCGTGTGAGGGATGTTGTGAAACCCGAGGGGAGATGGGAGAGGGGAGAAAACTAGTTGGATGTCGTTGTCTCCTCCGCAGACCTATGGGCTAAATGGAGAATGGGTAAAGCGGAGCGGAGCGTGAGGGAGGTAAGGCAGCGTAGCGTTGGACCCTCCGTGTTCACTGGTGTAAGGTGGTGTAAAGTAGCTAGGGCCGGTGCGGCAGGCCAGGGATGAATGGGGTGAGGTCGTCAAAAGAAGCTGGCGGAAGGGTGGTGGACAGTGTAAAAGCCGGTGATTTGGACGGTACCTAAGGTACCTTGAGGTAGGTAGCCGGGTCCTTTTCCAATAAAGGTACCTCGGACTAGTACCTCTGGCAGGTATTGTTTCCAGGCTCTTTTCATCCGATGCAAATTGTGGCTCTCAAGCATTGGATGACCGGGACAGATAGCCTCTACCAGATTTGGAGACGGCGACCAACAGACACGATCGCTCGAGGACTCGGTGCGTAGGTAGCCACAGCATGGCTTTAGGGGTATGCCAGCAGCTACCACCTCGTGTTTTCCAGCTAACTCATTCTACTTCATCTACTCATGTCGCACGGATTCAAATGTCATGTCGAACCGAGGGAGCTGAAGCAGCGAGTCCCTCACACAATGAAGGTATCTCGGTGATGAAATCGCAACCGAGGTACAGTGTCGGTCTTTATGCAACACACCGTGCGGGCGATAGTGGGGACAGCCCGTCACCCCGTTTGCAAACGTGCGTCACACCATACGACTGACTGACTACCTACCTTACCTGACTTACCTTACGGAATACCTACATATTCATTCGTACCTACCTATCCGTATTACTTACCTACCTATACACATCCATAAACACCTACCTTACCTTCTATGGATACTTTCCCTTCAAGCTATTGGCACATGTAAAGTAAGGTAGGCAGCTACATAACATACGCCGCGCATGGCAGCATCGCCTGTCGTCCTCCCCGACCATCTAAATCCTCATTAGCACAGCATTCGATAACTCGCACGCGCGAGGCAAGATTGAGTAGGCCGGCATCGATGCAAGTTACTCGCCGTTAGATTACCCTCTTTCTCTCTCTATTCCTCTCTTTACCGATCCCTATAAACGGAACGAAAGCCGGATAGCGTCTTCCGTATCCCCGACCATTGTTTGAACAGATCGAGTCATATCCCTTCGTTCCGCCTGTCCAACGCCAATCTATCCGATCCAGTCCATACATTGGGCATGAAGCGTCTTTCATTGTGCTACTCAAATCAGCATCCCGTGTTTGGTGAGCTTACATTGATGCATGTCTTCGCGCCCCCTTCGCGCCTTCTTCCGCGCCCTCGCACAAACATGTACCAGGGACCTAATCACCACGTACCGAGCTACTCATGCCTGTGCTTTCACCGAGTTGACACATCAGCCACTCAGAGGGAGCTTCGGTGAACATGACCTGCAGTACCCTGCCCTTTTCGGTATCGAGACCTGCCATCGTAGGTCCGTCCAGTTGTGCCACGTGCCACTTTCTTTCTGGAGGCTTAGAGCTTGCAGGAATTGAGACGTTGCTAAGTCTGGCAGCTTTTCATACGTTTTCCCAGGGTTGTCTTTAGTGACTGGACGATTGACCCTGGAAATAGATCTGTCCCAGGCTCATCGGACCGCGCCTGCGTAGTGAGTCCCTTGGTGCTAATGCAGTGTTGCCTCTTCACCACCACAAGCCTGACTCTCTGTCGGCAACGTCAGGAATGGAATCTTCTGTTCTTCTGTTACACAAGAATGCGCAACCATAGTTCGTTGGTTGGTTCCGCAGCAAATAAGTGGGCGATAACCAACCGGAACCCAGCGGTTACATCTACACAGCAAAGGTCACACTGTCCTTCCTGGATCATACCCGCTGTGACAGAGTACTAATGGCGATCAATGTACGGATAACGTGCATACGCCCAACCTTTGCATAATGTGGGTTGCTAGAGAGGCAGGCGGATGTTTACCGAAGGTGCGTCCAATGTTATTCTCGGCAAGATACATGCCACAGTGAGTGATGAAGTACACCAAATAGGCATTATACACGGTCTAGGTTGCTCTCTGAACGCTGTACAGTTAATCCCCTGATGCTTCCTTTGTAAAAAAAAATTCCCTAACAAAATAGGAAAGCAGAACGAGTAGGAATATACTAGAGCACGAGCAGAGACAAATGCGACTCGTTTCTTGAGGGTGCAAAAGACGGTCCAGCTCGCCATCACACATCTTCAAGTCCATTTCAGGTGTCTTCTATCAGTGATATTATGCCGCGTGTCTCTGTCTCCAGGGTTGTCAATATATCACGGCTCCTTGTGTCCACGTCAGCCCTCCGGTCTGACGTGTCCGCGGTGTTGTGGTGCTGTGTCGATGACTGACCACACGGAAGAGCGCCTGGCAAAGACTCCACGACCTTCAGCATCCGGGGGGGCAGAATAAGATTCCTGTCGGTACGGAGCAGAAGTTCCAGAATAGTCTCGGATAATTCAAAACACTTTCACCCCTGAGCCTTGTGAAGGGTGGCTCGAAAGCTTCTATGGCCCGGCCCGTCAAGGTCTGTTGTCTAGGGCTGATCAACCGTGGCATATGCCTTGATCTGAACTTCGGTGAGTCAACGGGCGAACCACCCCTTTGAGCAGGGTTCAGAACGTCGTCAACCGTATTGAGGCTCACGGTTCCCTGGGCTGACAATGAATTTTGCTGCGGTCTAATCAGCGGTGTAAGCAAGTAATCACTGGCTCTAGGACCTGGAGTGGGACCCATGGCAGCCACGTATCGCAGCAACCGTAACGTCACCTTGTTGTTTCCCGTGAAGTATTGAGCACAGAGGCATCCGGACGCCCCGGACCCCCTAGTCGACCACGGGAGTGCTCAAGGGCAGTTAGCCACCCATTTGGAGTTTCCAAGGTCAAGCATGGATGCCAAGTTGAGAGAGCAAGGCGACCTTAGCCAGGTTTGTTGCTCTTAGCCGGGCAGCCTGCGGGGATAATTGCACGACGTCTGGTCGTGACAATAGTCGTATGACGTGACGCCATCCTTTTCCCAGGCGCTTGACATCACCTGCCAGGCTTGAAGAATAGTTGTTGAATGTCTTCATATCTGTACACTCGCGGACTGACGGAACCAAGAAGCACGTGTGGAATACGGAGTTGGCCTTCGAACCCTGTTAGGATATAGTTTGAGCCCGGAAATTCCGCTCCTAGGGAGCAGGCTAGGATGCCAAGTCCCCTTGCTCATCCTGCTGGCTCTGGTGTAGGCCACCCTTGCAAACTCCCAGCTCACGGTGTCAATGTAAGAAAAGAGATGGGCTTGCAGGCGGTGAGAGATCTACAGGGCTGTAACGAGTTGGTAAGTGACATGTCACATATCGATTACGGGGAAAACTTACCAGGGGGGCGCGCGCGCAGAACCCAATGTGGGAGTCAAGCTTTAAGGCTTCCAGCCTAGTGATTCTGCGGTGGAGAAGCACCCCCTTTCCTAGGTAGACAGAGCGAACCCTGTTTCTGGCGACCTACCGAGCCGGTGAGTCGCCTGACCGAAGGTGAGTATGGACTACTCGTTCCTCTTTCATGTGTCTGAACAAGGATTCCTGAGCCGACAGTTGCACAGACTCCAATCATCAGCTATAAGGAGCAAAAAGCAAGCGTTCGAAGAGTGTAACGCCAGAGCTCAAAGGCATGAAAGGTTTGCGGCGAGGGCTACCTAGCCAGGATCAGCTGATGCCCGTGGGTATGGTCAACAACATAATTCATTTCCCTTTCCAAGGTCGCTAACAAGACAAGGCTCGCGCTCCTCCAGCAGATCAGTACTCAGCAGACCCTGCATTATTGTAGATATGAAGCTGAAACTCATACGCCATGTATATCTGCACTGAGGAGTCAGCTGATACAGCTACGAGGACATCGAGAAGCTAGGAGGATAGACACGTGCATCTAATCAACCGTCTTACACTCAAGGTATACTCTCATGCGCATGAGGTGCCACGAAGGTTCTTTTATATATATACATATATATAAAAAGCTAAACTCGCCGTGAGCTGAAGAGTGTGCCTAGCTTATAGTCAACGAAACACATCATCTCAATGGGATGAGGTGCATCCAATGCGTACTTACCCCAGCTCGAACATTGAAGTAAGCAGCTGGCAAAAAGAATTTGTGAAAAAGATGTGGGCCAACCCTTGTACAATGGAGTCAAACCATAGCAACTCCCCGGCGTGGGCTCGAACCACGAACCTCCAGATTAACAGTCTGACGCGCTAGCCAATTGTGCCACCGGGGATACTCGAAACGAGTCAGTGAGAAAGGGACCTGGATCGTGGAAAACCGCGTCGTTTCCGGCGCATATGCATGGCGGAACTTCGTCACTGCTCAGATTTTTGAAAGTGTGCTCCAGGGTTAGGGCGTTTTTGAAGCGGGAACTTGTCGTGGACGGCATCGGGCCGCCCCATAGAAGTGGGTAGTAGTCAGTGCTGCAGACCAAAACTATGCTAACGGCAGCAGCAGATTGCTTGGTCGCATCAACAGATACATCCCACGATGTTGACGTTTTGTTGCCAGATGTTGGGACAGGAAGATGACTCAGTCGTCTAGGAAGCACCGGCGCCCCTATTGAAGAAACTCAATACTGACCCGGAGTGATACTGCAAGGGTTGCCTACATTCGGGCAAGGTTTGCGAAAGTTACCAGGCTCGGAATTCGTGGCTCTTCGGTGGGCAGACCAGCCTAGTAGACATAGCAATTGTGCTCCTCAAGATGGGGGCCTGGGCGTCGTCTGTATGCCCTGAAAAATGGCAGATCGTAACATGATCTGATGGAGAGCCAGTAGATCGAGTCGAAGCAGGAGCCAACTACTTACGCCTCAAGAAAGCAAAGCAACTAGCACAATTTGAGAATATTGGGCAGCAAGTGGGAGGGTGCCATGATGCGAAATGGTACCATGTCGGAAGTGATGGTGTTGATTGAGGCAAGCGCCTTCGTGCATCCAGGTTAGAACGTCTGAAAGCGGCGGCAGAAGCCGACCCCAGAAAAGGTATCTCGCAGTCCAACGCCTGAATGCGAGCCGTCCCTCAAGCGTTCCTTTTGTGTGAACGGCTCGGCGGTGATGGACATGATGCATACTGGTGGGTGACGGGGTGGTCTTGGCGTTGTTTGTCGAGGTAGCGTGACCTTTAATTAGCAAGCCAGCAAGCAGTCGAGAATGGGGGCCAAAATGCCATGTTGCCAGTATGCTGTAGCTCGAAGTTTGACTTGACTTCTGCCGTCGATGCATACGGATGCCGGGGGTGAGTGCAGGGATACCGTATACTCACTTCACGGACAAGGCGTTTGATAGCGTGATCAAATCAAGGGATGAACAGCTTAGCTCAGCCCGTATGCAATGAAGTGCGGGATGAGATGCGACTCTGGGCGTAAGGATACTTGGATCAACGGCCGGTTTTCGGTTCGAATGGTTTGATGTGCTTTGGGCACGCACAGTGACAGCCATGCAGATTGGCTAGCTGGCAGGCGAGAGTGGGCGAGTAAAGGTGGCCGAGGAGGGGATTGGGTAGTATCAACACACCGAATTGACGGTCACTGTAGGTCCCCTTGCAGGTCTCGCAGGTATCGCGAGAGAATGACGGGCCAGCGAGGCGGTAGGCGGAGAACGGCATGCGGCATGCGGCGACATGCTTGATGCTGCGGCCCAAGAAGGAAGACTGATCAGGTGATGTTCTGCGAGACATTAGTTCGTGATATGACAGACGCAGATCACGAGTTACCTGGCAGGACAAAGGTCTCAGCTTATTGACTTTTGCCGAACAGCTGGCCAATGTAGGGATGACAAGCAAGTGCCTATCTTGGCAGAAGCATGGGAAAGAAGAGCGAACGACTGCAGGACAGGGAAGAAGGCAGCCGTCTCCTGCAGCAACTGATGCCCACTGCATTGTTTTTTCCCTTTCTTTCATTTCTGAGCATCTTGAGGCATCGAGATGAGGCGGTAAGCTGCAGGAAGGCGAGAGTCGGAAGGCAGATCGAAGGTCGGGGAGGGCTGAGGACTGGTAAAGAATCCCGACTGAGGGTGGATCCCAGTGAGGGCATTCGCAAGCTGCACCAAGGCCAAGGTTAGCTTGGTCCGCGTTGGTAGAAGATTGCCGAGAAACATTGCCGTTCTCGGCTGTGTCTTCCCACGTAGTTCATGCTGGAAACTGGGGGCAGCTGTGGTGTTGTACTAAGGCATTGATCGCATGCGCAGAACGGCAAACGGCTGAAGGGTCAGAATCGAAACACCCAGAACGCCTTTGAACAAGGACATGCGGTCAAAATCATCTCCAGGAATGAAAGTGAGGTTAGGTGAGTTGAGTCGAGGTATTCGCGTGTACTCCGTACCTGGATACCTTTCCAAGTGCTTCGTGCCTGCCTTGTCCACTTACACCGACGTACCCAGTACCCCATGTCTTAGGTAAGCTGGGGGGGGGGGGGGGGGGATCTTGGGGAAAGCCTCGAAGGACTGGAAAGACTCGGGTGGGAAGGAGGGGATGGTATGTACATCCTCCCAGGCTGGGTACCTTTACCGCACCAAAGGTATCCGCACCTCAGCCAGACATGGAATGAGACTCTGATCTCTGCTTCCCTTTTTTTGTGCTCCTTGCTTTTTCCAAAGGCACATGGCCTTAACGACCCGCGATCTTCGCATACAACGTGCCTTCCTTCTGCTTCGCGCAGCATGATCCCATACATACGAGGCAAGATGCGCTGCGTGTCTATTGATGTTTTTCCTAATCTCAGGCAGGTGTGTTTGTGCAGATTCGCTGTCTTGGGCAGGTGCTGCTGCACCTGAGAAAACCACGACCCAGCCATTACCAGCGCCAGCATCAGCTACGCTTGCGTATCTGCATGTTCTATTGTCTGCGTGTCTAAGTTTGTGAGCTTCCTGCCCACAAGAAGAAACGTGTAAGTGGCAGGTCCACCGTCCAGGCAGAAAAAGACCAGTCAAGGATTCAGGACGGGACGTTACGTGCGTACGGCTGGTTCCTAGAGTCTACCCATACTCCCGTCCTTGTCGAACCCGTTGCCTCACCGACTGCATCCAAGTTCGGGACCCCAAAGAGACGCATCTCGGATCGACAACCACGGCTAAGAAGGGAACGAAGTCGTGTTGTGCAACAGAGTGAGAAAACCAAACGGCACGACAAAGGCGGGCGGGTCGCAGAGCGGAGAAAAAAGGAAGTGGTCGAGGCGGAGAGAAGAGAACATCTTGGCCCGCAAGGCGGCTTGCTAGGTTGCCAGAGCGGAAAAAGCAACGTTGTCAGTCTCGGTCAACCCTACATCACTCCTCGCGCATCACGCCCACCGCCAATCTCACCCTTGGACGTATGCTTCCTTTTTCCGCTCATCGATTTCCTTTTCGCCAGGAGCATTCTCCCACCACCGCCTCAGACTAGGTATGCCACCCACATCTCACCTGCCGACCACTGGGCGAAACCAAAGTCGATGGGTATCCATACCGCTGTGGTCGGAGCCATTTCTTCATGCCCAAGTCTTGAGTCTCTTGACCGATTCTTATCGGCCCGCACCCCTCAGTGGCCGCCTGGTTGTTGACCCAAGAAAGTCAATCGCCAATCGACACAACTGAGACAGACCCTCCGGATCGACGACAACTGACATGACAGAGAACACAGACAAGACAGCCTGTCAGGACTGAGACATGCCGACCTTGACTGCCCATCAATCAAGCCATCAGGCCCCATTTGGGGCACAACCTACCTGCAAAGCTCAGAGTCCAATGCGACAGCTGATACAAACGCACCTGTAACTTACGCACTACCTACGCAACACTTACACCCAAAGACCTAATCCCCAGGTTGCAGCAGCCGCCTGCTCCAGCCTCCAGCATCGTCTACCCGCTGTGCCCGCTGTGCCCGCTTCGCCGCGCACAACGTACAGCATGACCTCGATGCAAGCATTGGTACATGCAGCCCGCAGTTTCCAGTCAATTGGGACGGGAAGGACGGGAAACCACATCGTGGCACGCTTCCGTCCTCTGAGGATACGGATACGTTACGCAACAAAGCTTGGGGCTCCGCTCGTGCTCGCGCCGCCTCTCCGACTTGGAAGTCGTCTCGCCTTTACGCGAAGTGATCACCATGGGAAATGCGGTCTTACGATTCGTCCGGCAAGCGGGCGTACTCCCCCGTGCTGGATAAATTTGCTGCAAACCACGGGCTTGTTTGACCCTGAAAGTGCTCCTCGCAATCAACCCGGCCGTTGGGTTTCTTGGGAGCAACCCCTGCTATCCTCCCCCACTCAACCCGGGATCCCAGGAGTACCCGTACCCAGCAACCCAGACGACAGGTCCAGCGCCGCCAGCAAGAGATGATACCGCCGGGGGTGAGGAAACTTCCAGAGCGCTGGTCGGCAGGTCTTTTACATTGTCGTCACCTCCGCGTGCGCGGGGCTTTCCACCCGACCGGACTGCAAGTTGCTGCCCAGCGATTAACAGTCGAGCCAGGAGAGAAAGTACGTGAATTCGCTCGTATTATGATCAACAATGCAATACACTCATCTCAACTCATTTACGCTGTTCATTATCAAGCTAGCCGCTGGCTGTTATTGGGCAAAAGGCAGATAATCGGCCTGCCGACCACGCAGGCTGCACCCAAAACACCCGAGAATTGCCTCGTTGCCTCTCTCACCGTCTCGCCAACTATCCGTACTCCGTACACAATACACCGCACCATCCCTGTGGACCGAGGGCAGCAATATTCGTACGCAGTGGGTGACTTCTCAAAACCCACTCAACCTCATTTAGGAAGTGGTAGAGAAGCTCCAAAGGATCCACAGAAGTCTTCGAAGCATCAGCATGGAGACGAAATGGTGGCCACCAGGATCCCTCCCCGGCAAGACCGAAGATGATTCTGAAACCGACGACCAGGAGTCAAGGTTCTATGATCAGCCTTTCAAGCAGGGACTCATCCTGACCTGGCTTCAACTAGCGAGCCCCGTTCCTGACGTTGACAGGTCATGTGGTTGTACAATTCCAAACCGGCCGTCCCATCGGAAGTGAACCACCCCTTTTCTGGATCCCGCCTACACGCGGATTTAGCTAGGCTCGGTCAAGGGAGAACTGGGAGCACATCCCCAGCCATTCGGCTGCTCCCCTTTGATGGGTCGCCAAGCGCCGCGTGGCGAAGGGCTAGGAGACTTTCCACTACCCCTGAGATCCGGTCATCCGGGTCTAGAGAACATTGCGTAAGAGCGAGGATGCGTACTTTTTCGTACCTATACCGTTGGCCGCTCGGACAAGTTTGCAACAAGCTCGTCGGTAGTGCTTTTCGCTCCAGACCAGCGAGTGCAGTGCCAACTCTAAGGATGTGGTACGGATGCTAGTAAGATGAGCAAGCTGTTTGTCGTACGATCTCGAAAATGACAAGTTATGGCGCACCGGACCCCGGAAAATTTGTTGTCTACGGAGTATTGTCTTCACTTACAAGTGGGACATGATGCTATCCGTTGAGATCACGATCCTAACCGGGCTGTCGCATCTCATAGGACCCCGGGTGCAAGACACAATTGTCCAGTATTGATTCGTCCGGAAGAGAACTATTTACCGGCACTCCATTGCGGTGGTGAATCCATCACAACTGCTTGAACGAAGCCGATAGAGTTTGGGCGATTAGGCTGCCCCATCGATTAACGACGTCAAAGTTTTGGTAGAAAGCTGCCAACATCTGGTTGAACTTTGGAGGTCTAGTTGAGCATCACCTGCATGACATACCTACATCCATGATTTGACCCCCCTGCCTGTAGCTAGTCGCCCTCTTCCCCGGACCGGAACTCTGTTTGGCCACAGCTTTCTAAGAGCTCCACGAACTGCTTTCTACTGATGAAGCATGCACGGGACAAGATGCAGCCATCCATCGCATTTTCTCCTTGGTCTGCTGCTCTTCTGTCTACCTTAGGGGAGAAGCGAGTCACTAGGCCCTCTCCGCAACGAATATTCTCCTTGTCGTTTCCTGACGACGGAGAGAAATTTCCTGTTGAAAGATGGATATGATGATAGTCGGCGACGGAGGGCCACGGAAAAAACGGGACCGGTGAGGAGAGAAGGAGAGGATACAAAACGGTACCTTTGCACTGATACATTCTCAGAACCAGCTACCTTGCGTTTCGGCACCAGTTCCGGCACTCGCCCGATCAGGGCCCAGAGGAACGGTTGTATGGGGGTGCTTGGACGCTTTACTGGGATTCGATACTGGGTACCCCTGACCTAGCGTGGAAACGAAAGCCAATTTCCCTGATTGCGATGTACCTTGGAGGGGATCACCGCCATTTCGTTTTGCGGGCCGACTTTTGTTGGTGCTCGTGGTAGCTCAGTACGGGTGCTCCAGGCTCAGCTTTCTTCTTCGGCGGTCGACATCACTCCCAAATTGCACGATAACAGTTGCCGCCAGGGCTAGGTATGGCCACCTTGAGCCAGGGTTGTTCTGGGTTCACCAACGGCGAAAGCGCGGATGCTATCCGGTCACGCTTTGTTTGGAGGAGAGTAGTAAGGCAAGATGGAAACAGTTCCACGCCGCTGCAACAACCTGCCCAGCACGGCACACCTCTGCGCAGCGCGAGATCGCAGACAATGGCAAACTCTGTTTCCGGAAATGGATTGAGGGAAGAGGTATTCCGGCTTCCGGTCCCAAGAGCCCCGGCAGTGGGCATGACACAGCTGGTACAATTGCTCTGGTGTATTCAGGGTTAGCCAATACTTCCTCATTGAATACGGGTAGTTCACGACGCCACGAGAAGATCGTCCATCGCAACAAGCATCCCCTTCGCATAAGGTTACCGAAGTGTTGCCAACTGTGACTAGAATGCACCCGTGTCCCAAGTAGAGACACCAGGCAGATGTTGCCCTCACCTATTCCGTGGTGGAGGAATATTTTGGGCGCAATGATGCAGCTCGGGGAAGAATACCAGCCATGCCACATGGTTTTGGACAGGGACCAGCCGTCATCAATCCACTATATTTGTACGGAGACTCATGTCCTGCAAACTGGGGTAGACCTCGGTTCTGGGCTCAGCAGTGGAAAGCTGCGGCGCTGACGGGGGAAAGGGGGCAAGATGAAGAGGACGAGGGACTCTGCTCTATGCGTACGAATACACTAATTACTGTTGATCCGTAGGACACTCAGGCACTTGGCTCGAAACCAGCTCGCTATGCCCAAGCTCGAGCCCTAGCCTGTAATTCTCGCCAACAGACGCCCTCATTTTCCGCGTCTCTCAAACTTTGCGTTGACCTTCAGCCCCTTGACCTTGTCAGATGGACCATCAATAATAGGAGTGGCAAGTTGGCAAGCAGCACACTCCTGACTATCACCTACCGTCCCGGCTTCCGCGACGCCCAAACAAGCTATTTAATCAACGAGTTGTGGCCACTGTGTCCGAGCGCTCCTGCAAGATGCCGAGCAGACCAAGACCCCTATGAAGCATTGGGAAAGAAAAGCAATTGAAGTGATGAACTGCGGCAGTCACCCAGAGCGACAATTAAACAGCCTCGTCTTGCTGCAACAGCCTGTCCGGCTAGAGTGGCTGGGAATGCGAGATCTAGCAGCGAGGATTCTGCGAGCAGGGTCAGAGAAATGACGGCCAACGACCAGGGTTCCTTAACCCTTGTCAAAGAAGAAAAAAAGACTTTTTCCATTCATCACAACCCCGGTTGCTTCATTTGTCGGCTCGTGTTTACAACTTCACCGACACAACGGATGCCTCTGGAGACGGGCCAACACTGCGGCCTGGTCTATGGATATTCGTAGTGTACATACATACCTACCCAGCCCATGCTGGCCCAGTCCGTTGGTTCGTCTCCATCGCCCACTTGTCGCTGTTAATCAAGGTGACACCAGGGCTATTTCGTGCTGCCCCATGCTGTGGGAACAAATGAGGACTGCAATTGTACGGAGTAGTACTCGACGACTCGTACCTTCAGGCTTCGCCAGGACAACGTCAACACTCAGTCACGAATCCGTACAGGATAGTAAAGTGCACTACAACAAGCACGTGAGTCCACCGATCCTACCAGTCTATTCTCCGGGTGCCGACGTGTCGGTCGAGTGGGCAAATCCAGGATGCGAAAACGCCTGCCGAGAGTCTGAACCGGGGCAACGCGATTGTCATTGAACAGGACAGCCAGCAAACAGGCTGACTGTTTGCCAGCGCAACACAACCCTCTTTGCTGCGGAGTAAGATGCATCGTCAAGTGACCAGGCGTGCGCAAGTAAGATGCCGACATGTCACGATATGACTCTTTGAAAGAGGGGATAGTTAAAGGGACGGATGAGAGACTCAGGTTGGGCTTGCATTGCACCGCCTGAGTCGGTTCGTTTGGGTGTCCGTTCGCCTTACAACCTCTACACCGTTGAAGAGGGGGTCCCTAAATCAACCGCTCGCGCGCAACAAAGGTGTGCTGTTGTCATTCCAATCGGAAGCTGTCATGGTTAGGGTGCATGCGACCAACAGGACCTCGAGCCGTACACTGGGCGCTTGAGCAAGCAAGCTGCAGCAGTCTTGAGGGTCGCCCTCTTCAGACGTCACGGCACATACCCCATCGACGCTACCTTGATTTACAGTCACAGGCGGAATCACGTCTCGGCCGATAGAGCTGTGCGACCTTTGAGAGGCGCCTCTCCACAATCGCATACGGCCGCTGCAAGCACCAGTACTGTGTGACTACGGATGCTCTCTCGTATTCAGCAAGACGCCGAGGCAAACACATCTACGGGGCCGTACGTTGTGCATCTAGCAACACGTATCCTTACTACCAAGATGAGCGAGTTGCGAGTCTATCTATACAGGCCCCTACGTCCTGATTCCAGAGATCCGGCAGAGAGGCTCCGAGTCAGTGTGCGGCGGCAGCGGCAGCGGGAAACCGTAACGGCAACGGCTTCTTTCCCTTCGAACAGCTCAAGGCCGACGACGCTGGCGCAACAGGTGTCGATATCCGCCGGGAGGGACACTCCGCGGCCCTGGTCCTGCTTTCTTTCATTCACCGCCTCACAAAAGCGGACGACGAGGTGGTTCTATCAGCCCGGCCTTGTTACTCAGATCCTCGGCGCTCTGATGCAGGCTCTCTGGGGCGTGATAAGCTCCGCGTGCGACAGGAAGCATACCCGCGTCCCACCTCAGTTTGCCCAACAATAGGGAGTCAGGGAAAGCTCCAGAGGAATATTCAGGATGATCCGTAATGGAAGCCCACCCCTGATGTCCCAATCAAATGGCTGCAAAGCTAACGTCTTGTATTTGTGCTGCCGCTCACCGCAAAAGATCAGGCACAGGCAGCGCGGGGAACAGGATTAGTTCACCCTGCTAAGGAGGCGGTCTATTACTGAGCCACAGGGACAGCCTGGGTTTTTTCCCCATGTCGCCCTCCCTCGACAATACAGTCAACTAGCGTTTGACCAGCCCTCGGTCGGTGGTTTCTTTCATCCAACAATCCAATGTCGACTCCCCCCCCCCCCTTGCTACAGCCTACAACAAAGCCAGCCATGCGACCCAAGTGCCGGGGGTTGTGAACCTTGGGCTGTAAGTACACACCTTGCACCTTGGGTGCCTCACATCGCAGACAAGATACATCATCTCGTCTTCTCGTCCGCCCATGGAAGGCCGGGAAACAACAGTACAGTGTCGAGATGCTCGTCTCGCTACCCATCAAAAGGCGTTTGACAGAAGGGCACCATACCACAATGACAGTGTGCATGGTTCTAGTATTCAAAGCACAGTATGCAGGTCGAGAATGGTCTGGACAGACACGGCCGAAGAACCCAAGGCTGATACATGCTGGTAAATGAAGCCCGAAACCCGGGTGGTTATTCGAGCTGGATTTTCCGAGACAAGCACATTGTGTCTAAGGCTATCCGTACACCAATACCTACTATGGTACTCCGTGCACCTCACGATGTAGTTGCCACCAGAGCAGACAAGGCGAGATGGGAGCAAGGGACCGGGATCAGGACGGAGCAGATGCCGTTGCGTTGCGCATCACAGGCTTTTTGGCATTACGATGCGATGCGATGCGATGCGCTGCGATATGGGCCAGAAGAGAGTGACGGGCACTTGATGGACGCGTAGTCGCTACACAGCGGCCATCGACGAAAGTGCAGGTAAATGTTGGCTTTCGTTTCCTTGTCCTGCTGTAACCTGTTGCGTCGGTTGGCTAATTTTCTTTTGCTTTTCTTATTTCTGGCGCCCTGCAACTACCCACACCCCAATTCCGAGTTGGCTCCATTTGCTCCAAAAAGTCTCCCTCTCCCAAATCCAGCCCAGTCCCATCGCGGCTCTAGCCTCGTTGCCTCTTGTGAAACCTTTTTTATTCCTCTGTTGATCCTTGCCCTCCGGTCTGGCGCCATCCTTCCCCGAGTCTACCACCCCTTGCCTACTTTTCCTACTCCGTCCATGTCGGTCTGGTTGAGTACGTACTCTCTTCGTCTGGTCAAGGGAAGTACTCTTGTACCTTTCGGATACTCTCTCTCTCTCTCTCTCACTCTCTTACTCTCACGGCTTTTTCACTTTGTGTATGTGTGTGTGTGATGTGTGTGTCTCTCTCTCCAAGTCTCCCTTCCACACACACCCACACCCACATATCCGCTCGCTCCGAACCCCATCCTCCCCTTGACACCACTGAGCTGCTAACAACGGATTGCGTCTAGGGAATCTCATCCGGGTAGTACCCGTCGCGTAGGTAGTGGCCGAGCCATGGACGTACCGACTTACACTTATCCACAGTCGTAAGGCGAACACTCATGGCCTTGGGACCGTCATCTCGACATGGGTAAGGGGGCACGCCGCGCCGCACGCACACACATGCCTACACACTCACACACCCCCCGACTGCGCATGTATGGAGAAAAAAGCCCACCGAGTCTTGTCTGGGGGGTACCCCTGGATCAGGTACAGGGCTTCTCAGGCCCCACGGCCGTCATGCCGGGCAGTTGGATCCCTTCCCACGACGTGGGACCTTTCGCCGCCGCATCTCCCTGAATCCCTCCCCGGTGGACAAGTGGGAGGATCGTCTTGTTTCTTTTTTGCGCTGGACATGCCATGGTCCATGGTCACCGCCGTTCCAATCTTAGATCCAAATTTTTTTGCTTCCTCGACCCAGGCAATGGTACGGTCCCGGTGGCCTGTCCCCCAGCTGGGTCTGGTCTGTGTCTGGGGTGGCCCTGGGCTTTGACGTCTCTTGGTCCTCTCATCGTCACCGTCCGCGCTCCCTTCATATTAAGTTGCTTGCTTCCCCAGAGCTTGCTACTTTTTGTCCCATCTGATACTTTCTTTCATAAGGTAACCATCCCGCCACGCTGTCTGAATAGCTTTGGTCTCGCTCTGCTTGTTTTATCTTTGCTTTTCCACCGTTGCTTTTCATGGTTACATCATCAGTCTCGAGCATCAACACGCTTTCCTCCCTTCCACGAGACTAGCAAAACAAATTCTTGCCCACACCAATCTGGACCACCAGCTCCACGATACCGCTTTTCTCCCTCGATTCTTGAGCCCACCGAAGACGTTACAGGAACTGCAGTGCTATATATTGCAACATCGCCCACCCATCCCTTGATCCGAAATCTTTCCAACCGCCTACCGAATCTCTTTGCGCCTCACACAACATCCAGCCTGCCAACTGCGCATACACCGAGGATCAACCAAGATGAAGAGGACCGGCTACATGACGGGAGGCCGTCGAGGCGGCTCCTCGGGGAGCATGAAGTCCAAGCTTCCGCCCTTTCCCACGACACAGATGTTTGTTCTCGGTATGCATATCCTCATCCAGCGGTCTTAGGTGGGCTCACCGCAGGATGCCCGCTAACACGCTCTTCAACCAGCGCTCTGCAGAATATGCGAACCGATTGCATTCATGTCCATCTTCCCCTACGTCTATAAGATGGTCGAACACTTCAACATTACCGAAGACAAGAGCAAGATTTCCGTCTACGCCGGCATGATCACATCCGCATTCACTTTGGCCGAGTTTTCGACAGGAGTCGTTTGGGGAAGACTGAGCGACAAGATTGGTCGCAAGCCTGTCCTCTTGATGGGCCTCTTTGGCACGGCCTTGAGCTCTTTGGTTTTCGGATTTGCCCCCAACTTGACGGTTGCACTCATTGCGCGAGCTCTCGGTGGTCTGTTGAACGGGTATGTCGAGTCTATGAGCCAGCCCACTGGCAAAAATTGACCTTTGGCTGACTTTGGCAAAGAAATATTGGTGTCCTGCAAACGACTGTCGCGGAGTTGGTTACGGTCAAGGAGCATCAGCGTATGTTCGGAAGTCTTTCCCGGTTACAGGTGATGAGCTAACTCTGTGCAGCCCGCGCATACACTATTATGCCCCTAGTTTGGTGTCTTGGGTAAGTTGAGTTTGTTGTGGCGAGCGTACCCCTACTACGCGACTCGCCAGAGTTCATTGACTAGTGTCTGACTTTGCACAGCTCAATTGTCGGACCTGCTCTTGGTGGCTTACTCGCCGAGCCTGTTCAAAGTTACCCGCAGTACTTCAAAGCGGGCTCGATCTGGGATCAGTACCCTTTTCTCCTGCCCAATCTTTTCAGCGCCGCCACTGTCTTCTGCGGAGTTGTCATCGGTCTGCTCTTTCTGGAAGAAACCCACGCTGAGCGCAAGAAGAGGAGAGACCCCGGTGTGGAGTTGGGAAAGCGCATCATCTCGTGGGTGTCGGCCAAGAGCTGCCAAATCCCTGCGCGGAAGGCGGAGAAGCAGGCACTGCTCGACGATGATGAGCTCCCCGGCTACCGCACGAACGAGAGCTCTCCCCAACTTGTGGGATCCGAGTCTACTATCCCCGAGCCAACCGAGACTCTGGACCTCACAGAGGCATCAATCATTGACGAAATTGCTGAGCCGCCCAAGGTGATCTTTACCAGACCTGTCATCTTGAACATCATCTCCTACGGCATCCTGGCCTTGTAAGTCATTGCTCTTCACTTTGAGACTCTCATCAACATGCTTACACTTCTACCAGCCACACCATGACCTTTGATCAACTGTTCCCCGTCTTCCTCAGCACCACGCCTCGCGAGCACCCGGACGTTCACCTTCCTTTCAAGTTTCCCGGCGGCTTCTCGATGGAGACCAAGTCCATTGGCATCATTCTCGCGGTTCAGGGTGTCTACTCCATGATCTCGACAGTCTTCATCTTCCCATGGGTTACCAGACGCCTCGGTCCTCTCCGGCTGTTCAGACTATTGGCCATTTCTTACTTCTTGCTCTACCTGACGACACCCTACCTAGCTCTGTTGCCTGAGAACTTGCGAATCATCGGCATCTATATCATGGTTATCTGGAAGTGCACCTTCTCGACCATGGCCTACCCCAGCAATGCGATTCTGCTCACAAACTCGGCACCGAGCCTCATGTCCCTCGGAACTATTAACGGCGTTGCCGCCTCGACAGCGAGCTTGTGCAGAGCGTTCGGGCCGACCATTTCGGGCTTCCTTTACACTCTTGGTATTCGAACCGGCTACTCCGGACTTGCTTGGTGGACCAGCGGTGCCATTACCATTTTCGGCGCCTTCCTAAGCATGCATCTTACCGAGCCCCGTGGACGCTTGGACGAGCCTGTCAGAGATATCGAGACGGCAGTGGAACCCACTGAGATTGAGGGCTTGCTAGTTCCCCTGGACGACGACGAACACGAGGTTGAGGCCGGCCCCAGCCGGAGATCGTGATCACCACCATGATCACACACGTTGACTACCTTATCCCCCAATTTCGATACCCCGGAAAGGCGCCATGGGATTTGCACTATTTTATTTTTATCATCATTCGACAATCGGAGTTTTCATCCTACGGCGTTATTATCGACAGGAAGGGACCACAACAAGACATAGACTATCGCTCATGGGACACGACGGAAGGAATCAGAGAAAAGAGTTATTACCATCACACGATTTAATTCGGACAGGCCGAGGAGAGAGCACATACGGAAATCTCACGACTTGTTACTTGTTTTATTCCGACCATTTCCATCAGCGGGCTGCATGACTGGATTTCAGTTCTTGTTCGTTTCGACTTTTTATCAAACCTTTAGGGGGCGCTCAACATCACATCATGTATCGGGTCAGGCGACGATCCTCGACCATTTGTTTTTGTATACGGATTGTTCTATTGGACAAGGAGTTGGAAATACCATGGGA